TTCATGTCAATATTATGATTTTTTGAATCTTAATAATGTATGTAGACATTGCTTTAACAAGGTCGTATGATTGGTGATATAAATTTAATGGCTAAAACGGGCCTTCCGGTAATTCATTAGCTAAATCTAAGTACTCAGATTTTTGTACGCACTGGATTATATCACCTGCTTCAAACAGAGTATTGTAAACAAGAAGAAAAGTGAAAGAAAACATGGAACATTAATTTTCTAACTGAAAATTAAAAAAAATAATGAAATTAGCTTCAGAAGTTGGTGCCTGCAACCCAAAAAAAGAAAAGGCTTAGGAAGCTGTTGACTTGATGAAGTTTTCTCTGGAAGTATTCTATTTTTTTCTTCTTTTTTTTTTTTTGTTTTGGATATCAAAAGTTCATGTGATCCAATCTCACTTGCCTGAGGAGTACTTATAAGTCAACAACAACCCGAATATTTAGAAAGCAAGATAAAAGATATCTGCAAAATGTACAAGAATATATGGGACAGTTCTCCATATTTGTCTGCGAGGAACAAATTATTTTAAAGGTGAAGAAAGTGTTCACCTGATGGAGCGCACAATCAATGCATAGCAAACTTAAGGCTGGACATCAAACCATGTAAACTTAATCCTTGTTCCCTCTATGTCTCCAACAATTCAACAATTCAATGACTTCCTTTTTGATATGCTTTTGAGCATCTCTTTGAAGGTTTCAGGGCTAGATGAGATTCTCAGCAAACCCTGTTGACTATACCCGAATTCTTGTGGAGACTCATTGAATAAAGAGACAATCGAAGGATGGTTGATGTGCTGTATAGGTAGGGAGATTCTCTCCATTACCTCTTTACTAGTTCCGATTAGCAAAGGAACATAACCTTTGCGAGCAATATTTTTGTGTTCAACCTCATTTTTGCTCACTAATCTTACATAAGTAGGATACGGGCTCTTTCCTCTTTCTGTCATGGTGCTTAGTTAATTATTTTGCTTCAAAGCTGTTTCTTGTTTATAGCACAAGTGATATAGGCATCTATGCAACCAATGTTTGAAGAAAGGTTGTCATCTATGACTTTAAGAAAGAAAACAATTGGTTGTCTTAACCAATGTTTTGAAAATTGGATCGGATTGGCCGGTTTGATCAGTTGAACCGCGAATCGGTCATGGCACCAGTCTAGTTCTATACTACAGTTGACTTTGTCAGAAAACCGGTCAAAAACGATTAAACCCGTGAGAATCGTCGAACCGGTGATTTCTGATTTTTTAACTTTCTTCTTATTTTTTTTTAAGTTTTGGAAAACACAGCTACCAAAAATTGAACTCAGACCTTTGTGATGAAAGACCAATGTAATAACCATTGTACCATCACATCTTATGAGTTTTTTTTATGATAAATCATTTATATAAAACAAACATCCATCTTTCTTTTCTCCGTTTATTCTACGAAATCTCATTTTCTCGTGACTCTTTCTTTCTAATTTTCAACTCTTTCTCTCTCTCCTCTTTTCTTTTGTCACTTCCTTTTTAATCAAACATCTTTAGTTTTAATTTGTTGATATTTTTTTTCCATCTTTTAATTTTATTTTTATCCATCAAATTGAAAAAAAATTAAAAAAGAATTATTTTTCTTAAACCCTAAAGACTAATTATTAAATGCTACAATCACTCACTTTTATCTCTTTTTTGTTTCTTATCAAGTTTGCATTTTTATTTTCGATTCTCTTGACTTCCTTTAAATTCCAAACTTCTTTTTTTTTTAATTGCAATTTCTGCTTCTCAAAAACGTAAATTAAAATTTAAACTCACAATATATAAATTCCCATATACGTGAATTTTGTATAATTTCAAAATATTGTGGTATATTTTGGATTGAATTTAAGATTATTTTTTGGTAAATATAATTGAGATTGAGATGAAATTTATTTGTTTCAACTTATAATTTAAAATTTTATTTTTGCAAATCCAAGTTATTCGAAAATATTAAACTTTTTATTATATAAAGTTTTAAATGAGTCTATTGCATGTCTTATTTTGTGCACATATATATTTATATAAATTATTTTTTAAAAAATCATTAAATCATGATTGAACCTGTCCGATTGGTTGAATTTTGACCCGAATATCTCACCGGTTCAATTAACGGTCCCAGTTTTAAAACATTGGTCTTAACTAGACAAACATACGTTCTCACAGATTTGGAAAATGGTCATTATGGTCGGCATGTGCACTGTTGAAATGATCTTTTCGGTCCATTATCTTCGAGGTCATTTTCCATTTTGTTCTTTCAATAATTTAAACCTTCATTCTCATGAGAAATAGAGTCAGTTCCATTTGAAACAAAAAAGAAAAAGAGCAAAATAGGGAAAAAAATACACATACATGCTCCAATTGATATGCAGTGACATATAAGGGACAAAATTGGAAATGATTCTAAAGATAATTGACCAAAATGATCATTTTTAACGGTGCACATGTTGTGCCCATGACTAAGCCAATTAAAATTTTTTTAATTTTCTATTAGAGGTTCTAAATTTACAGCTTTTTACAAAGACAAATAATTAAAATGGGCATAATGATATATAAGGGATTAAATTGGCCCAAACTCTAGAGATGAAGGATCAAAATGGATAGTTTTCCTAAAGGATTTGATAGCATGGCGCTGTGTTGAGGTTTGTCGTTACTTGCAAAATGATTTTGTCAACTTTTACCTAGAAATTTAACTTACATCACTTCATATGAACAATCAAACATAAGATTTTCTGGGGAAATTTTGGAGTTTATCGAATGTTCAAGAGGAAAGATAAGATAACATGTTAAACTGTAATGACCAATCCTTTCAAGACGATTAGGTAAACTTTGACATGTAAATTTTCTAACCACTATTGCGTTATTATAGAGAGAATAATTTAATGCACTTCTATAGTATGAATAATTTTTTTCTTGTTTTATCCATCTCCAAAAAATTTATTAGTTTAGATTGTGAGAGGTGACTTTGCATTATAAAGTGTCAAAATGGGTGATTTGGGCAGATTTGGGTTGGATAAAATGGGTAATGGGTATAAGTGAGTCAATCCATTTATACCCATTTAATTAGATGGGTATAAATGGATAAGTCAAAAAAAAAATTGGATAACCCAATCACTCATTTATAACCTATTTATTTTTATCTTTCTGTAAATTCATTTATATTTATTTTTACAAACTAAGTTATCAATTTATACCATCCTTTGCATCCATCATTAGTTTTAAATATTTATTTATAATACTCAATAAATCTAATTATCAATTTTTTCCCATTTGTATTCTATGTCGCAAAATCACATACTATTTAATAATTAAACTATAGGAATATAAAAATTTGAACTAAGTACTATAAAAGTTAATATAAAAACTTAATCCAAAAATTTTGAACATCTAACATTTTTCCGTGTGTAATTTTAAAATTTCATTTTGAAAAAGTAAAAAAAGAGACTAAAACTTGTCATAAATTGGTAATGATGAAAAATGAACAAGTTAACAAACTAAAAGAAAATAAAATGATAAGATAAAACCAACAAATAATAATAATAATGAAACAAAAGTAGTTAACATCATGACAAAGTGAAAAATTTGAAAAAAAATGGGTGAGGGAAGAGAGGAGGTTGCGGGGAAGACAATTCTAAATGGGTTAATTGAATTTGATGTGTGAGTATTATTAGGTAACCTATTTATACCCATATGTAAAAATTTAATATACCCATACACATCGCCTTTGCAATTTAATGGTTGAGTGGTGTTCATAATATGATAGCCACTTGAACCTTTCAAGATGCTTGGTTTTAAGCCCCAACTTATGCGAATAAATGTGAAACAATCCTTTTTTATTTCTTTTTGTGCCTTTCAATGCCAATACGATTGAAAAATGATGCTAGAGAAGAAGAAGAAGTGAAGCAGCCAGCAGAACTGACTAACCACGATACATCGGTTTATGGACATTGCTGTGATTGGAATACAATGCATCATTCATACCTCGTAGAATTATACCTGAATCTTTACCATGTCACTGTTGACAGGCAGGCCAGTGACTTTTACTTATTTCATTACAAAAAGGTGACGATGCCTGTTGAATTGAAACTAAAGTCACTTTATCTTCGAGCTTTCTAATTCAATCATTTTCAATCTTGATCAAGAACTCGTTACCCTTCACCTAGAAAGAGAGGACTCTATACAAGTATCTCCCCTACAATACCTAGTGAAATGCCATACAATGACAAAGACGGTTGAATTTCAAACCTTACCTAGGTATGCCATACAATGCCATAGCTAGTGCAATGATAGCTTTTGAAACCCTCTTTTCTAGTTTGATTACTTTTGCATATTATTGGAAGATTGCTAGCCTTTGTGACCTTGAAAACAGCGATCAAGAGCAAGTCATACTTGTCTTCGAAAAATATCCAATAACCTTTCACACAAAAAATTCATTAACAGCCCACGACGATAATTGTCCATGACCCACAAGTGCCTGAATTCTGGCATCACAATCGAAATTGCTTCGTTGAATCTTATAATATTGAAAGTCACTTTTAATCGGAGCCACGCATGTCGAACAAAAGGGCAAGTATGCGGTAAATACTTAAATACCGACTAGGAGGTGTTTACCGCGCGATGCGCGGTATAAGTTTAAAGATTGCCTAGAAAATAAGGAGGGATTTTGTGTGCGACAAACTCTTGGTTGTTTATATACCTATTGTTTTTTTGGTTTGTGTTGATTGCATTTTGATTTGAATAGTAAAAATTGATTTGGAAAGTGGAAATTATTTTATTTGGATGTTTGGCTTAGTTATATTTGTGGTAGTATTGCGATAGCGACAGATAATTAGTGCAAAAATGAGAATTATTGTAAAATAAATAAGCATGTAATAAAGGAGGAATGTAAAGACAAAGAAAATAAAATAGGAAATGTAGTTATAATACGCAGGAATTATGATTAAATATACATAGTGAAAAGGCATATTAAAGGCAACAGTGATGTACGCAAAATAAGCAGAAGGTCAATCATTGATGTTAAGGTTGTTCATGTTAATATTCTCAGCATTGAAAACTTCGTCAACTGAGTAGGATGTGATTATCTCATAAGCTGCACGTTTCATGGGTCTGAATTTGGAAGGAGAGGGCTTAATGTAGCACATGAGCAGTTTTCCTTGTAAAGTATGCGCAAGGTATTGAGCAAGATCAACGCCCTGTTGTAAAAAAATGATGGAAGAAAACTGTAACGGGTTTAAAAAAGAAGCAAGAAAATATTTAGTTTGAAAAAGTGTCAGTGGTTACTTCTTGTTGTAAATGGTATAGTTCCAAGGTTGAATACTGAATTAGCTTCTCTGCTTCAATATCCATATCAATAGCACATAAAGATCCAGTTCTATCAATAAGTAAAATTGCAATGAGAGCTCTGCAACGAAGAAATAGGCAGGTTTGCAGTTAGAAATTGGAAGCAATTAAAGTTGGTGATGAAAGGAAGCAAGAGAAATTAATAATTATGTTTACCTAGGAACTAAATCTACGTTAGAGTGGCAGTGTTGACATGTAACAGGCAAATTGCTTGCAATTTTGCTTGGATAGTAACAAAGGGGACAAGCTATATAAGTTAAGTTATGATGTACATAATCCAACTCAACAACACCTTGAATCCAGGCAGTCATTGGTTTCTTTGAGAGAGAAGAAAAGGTAGAAGAAAGAGTCAGGGGTTAAAAAAAAAAGGAAAAAGCTGTGGAAGTGAATGTAAAGTACAGTATATGTAAATGTAAATATTGAAATAGGAACATTACCTGTTGAAGAACGGAAGCAATATGAGTGATTCGATTATGGTTTACAGGAGGAAGAAGTATGCGTGGGTTAGTGTAACTGCTCTCATTAAGCATTCGCGCTAGGATATCGGCATGGGAATGATGCCTATGATAAAAGCGAAAGATTTAAGTTGTTATATAATAAAGGAGATAATAATGCAAAAAGTGGTTAAAACATTCTACCAGGATTTTAAGTTGATTGTTTGTTGAGCGGTCGGAGCTACCAAAATCACCGAGGAAGGGTGAGTTGAGAGACTCAAATCTGATATATTTGGCAAGAATAGGGTAAAAGTTATATAGGTGGCGGAGAATTTTTTTTGGAGATGATAGAAGTTTAGAAGACTCTTTAAATATTAAAGGTGAAGTAAGTGAACACAATGATTTGTTGTAGCTTTGATTCTTATGGCGATGATAATTGGAAAAGGGTCCTCTGCTGCTGCAATAGCAGGGCCATAATTTTCTTCAAACTCATCTTGCAAAGTTAATACCAAAGGTTTCATGCTGTGGAATGAATAACAATAGAATACGTTATTGGAAATTTGCACGATTTTGAAAGAACGAAAGTGGAAATTAGATTGATAAGTAAATGTTTTACTCTTGATTAGCAATCACATAGTCTCGAGCTACACGTGGTGTTCCTTGACCACGGACAATGTTGTTAGGTAGAGCATGAAGTATAACTCCCATGACAGCTTAGGAAAACGGAAGAAAAGAATATATTAAGATTATAAAACAATGTCAAGTAAGTAAGATGCGGGGAAAAACAAGTAGAGGATAATGATAAACTTACTTATTAATTGTTCGGTATCAGCAATTGCGTCCAGCATAGTAAATGGATATAACTGAAAATATGAAGGGAGAGAGGGATAATCGAGCTGTTGAATTTGATGAATTGATGTAGCTTCAGTAACAATCTAGTAAAATGGATATTCGGTAGGAGGAGAAGCATCGTGTAGTTGGTGAACAGAGGCTCCAGAAATGTAGTAGCTTTTAAATGGCAGTAGTAATCCAGTAAGGCGAGCAATCATGTTTCCGATAGCATGCATATTAACTTTTACACCCTGATATTAAGAATTGTTAAAGGTGATTAGTCCATAACTAAATAGTCATGAGTTAAAAACGGAATTAAGCATGTGTTACCTGCGAATCAGCAAGCACAAAAGTGCGAAAGTTTTGTTGGAAGTGCGAATTGTTTTTAATATGGCTAGCTTCTATAACCTGGAGAGCAACTGTCCAGTTTGATGAACGCGGACGAACAGCGGACAGAGGGATTACTACAGGGTGCATTGTAGGATACTCTATAATAGAAATGTAAAAGAATTAAATGGGTGAAGTATAATCTATACGAGTTAAAAGGGTGAAGTATAATCTATACGAGTTAAAAGGGTTGCAGAAAAGATAGAATTGGAATAGCAGGAATGGATATGTTAAGAAGGAGAAGGAGAAGGAGAAGGAAGATGTTGGTGTTAAAAATAGAATCAGAGGAAGGAAAGTATTGTAGATTGCTGTTTTGTCCTTGTATGTTTTGGTGGAATGCATACAAAAGTGAAATGGCTAGGTACTTAAGACACCGTGGTAAATTTATGTTTGAAACATAAAAGTATAGAATTTCAAAAGATGATATGCATGGTGTCATTTTCGTCCAAAGGTAAAGGTGTAGAGCTGTAGCAAGGACCATTATTGGTGATAAAGTCTTCAGAATCTGAAACGTTCACGTGTATTCATTGTTAGGTAGTGAAAAGTACAAAATGTTGATGATAGGAATATCTTCAGAGATTTAGTAAATATTTTGGACGTTTGCTGAAATTTTTTGCGAAGGTCTGACAATTATTGGAGCATTTTAATATCGGTATTGATAGTTATAAATTTAGTATTCACTTAAGCATTCGGGATAAAGGAGCTGCATAACTAATGGCGTACTTATGTAATGAGGTGGAATAAAACCGAATAGTATTATTGGAAGGAAAAGGTTCTAGTACATCAATGGAAGCATTTAAAAAGGTGCAGAGGCATGATTAGATGACTTAACAGAGGTTAATTACAACTTTAAGCATCTGAATAAATGCTGAAAGTGTAATACCATGGAAATAGTTTTTCGACTCCATTATAATCAAATATTAAAACAGCAAATGTGGTCTGTGATTCTGGAATAAACACAAGAGTGTCATTATGCTGCAATTGATGTTGAAGAGCGAAGCTTCTCCAGTTCTTTTTCAGGTGTTTCCCTCTGATACCAATCTCTATAATGTTATTGCCAGTTTTGATAAGCACGGTGGGAGTTCTTTCACTGTTGAAGAAGTGAGCAGTGAATCTTGGAATTTTCTAATAATTGTTAAGAAAAGTTAGAATGGAAAACGGACATATAAAAAAAGGCTAAAGAAAATAGATGAATGCGTATATAATAATAACTTACCATTGAATTTGGTGTTGCTGAATGGAAAATTTGATAAAAACAATGGAAATCAGTTATGTTTTGAGAAAAGTCTGGGTTTAATGATGAAGTGACATCATGGCGGTTAACTGATAAGGATTAGGTAGCTGAGGCCATTAAACAGATAATGCATTAGAAATAATGATAATTGAAATGAATACAGGAAATGGAGGAAAACATATACAGGCCTTGTGTATAGGTAGCATTATTCTCGAAAATATTTGGGAGTGGAACTGTCTAGGATAAGTAAACTTACTGTTGGAGTTCACAGAAATGAATAACGTCGAAAATAAGATTTCCAGCATGGCGAACCATCAACATATCATGTGTGTTAATGATATTGTCATGGCAATAGTCATCCCATCCTTCTTCAAAGCAGCCATTGGCAATTGTGAGTGGCCATTTTTGCATTCCATATATGAGGATGATTGTGTTCTTTTCATGCTGATGAAGTAAGAGTTGAAACTGGGCAGGAAAAATCTGGAATTGGTTGATGGAGCAATTAAAAGTAAGCAGACTAATAGAATATATTATATTTGGATAGTCTGAACGTTTTTTTTTTCATAAGGAAAGAAAAAGTTCACCTGTCCTCCGTGGCAACATTTGAAGAGAAAGCAGCAAGGGGTTAAGTTGCTGGTTGGTTGGTGGGAAGCTGAGGATGGATCAAACATATTTTGTGCTATGAAAGTGGCAGAAGAAGGAGAAGATAATAGGAGGAAAAGTTGGTATGATGCTATTAATATAGACAACAAAAATGCTGGTAAATTTTGGAATTAAAAGAAAGTAAGAAACAGTAGAGATGGGTGCTTGTCGACAGCTGCAGCTTTTTGTTTGAGGTGTATGGTATTGAATTTTGGTACATCACGTGTTGAATATAGGACTGAATATATAAATATATTTAACGGAAAGAAGAAGAAAGTTTTTATTAGTATTGTTAACGCTTGGCGATGTATTTTTTTTTTAGTATTTTTATGGTGATGAGATTAGATGCTTCTAACTTTTTGGTGATAGCTGGGTTATGGTTATTAGACTGGACGGCTGTAGCCCTTCCTGATTGGAGATATTTTTGCATGAACTGGATGAATTTATTGTTGTTTTTATTTATACTACAAATTACTTAGCTTGATCTGCTTTATTTTACATTTAATAAAAGGACCCCTGCTGATTGCATAATTTTGTTGTTTAATAAATAATCGTATATCTTAGGAGAAGAGGATCTTAAAGGAAGTCAGTGGTGATGGTGCTGGCGATGTATGTATCTTGTTAGCAGTCCATGTAATTATTTGTTGTTACATTTGCATAACTTTGTACAAACATGAACATAAGTTGGCTGTACTTTGCAGGATTTCAAGGGCTAGGGGTTCAAGATAATGGGTGGATGTGATAAGCAGGGTTTTGTCATGAAATAGGGAGGTTTGCCTCCTGAGTCTGTGTCTCTTACTTCGTAGAGGTTAGAATCTTCGTGAGGGAAAAAATGATGTAATAGGTATTATTGCAATTTGCAGTCATTTGATGAACTGTATATTTAACTTGATTAGGGACCCTATGACCTGGCTAGACTCATTGATATTGAGAAGCCAAGAATGAGAGGTTTATAAAAGGCTTCGAAAATTAGAAAGCTCTTCAATGTGTTAAAAGAAGGGGATCTGAGAAAGCATGTCAATACACACAGGAGGACGGTCACAATAAAGGTTGATGAGTTTTTGATTTACTGTTATTATTTACTGCATTTGTTCCTTTTCCAAGTCGAGAGCAGAAACACTCTAGCGCGGATTGTTGCTGAGTTTGTATCAATGTTTACATCATTAGGTAAAAAGGCTAGCAAAGCTCGTAAGATGCAGAGGTTGGTTGCTTCATTGATATTCTAGAGAAAGAGAGCAATAATTGCTCAGAAAAAGAAGAGAATTGCAAGGTTAAGTCTGAAGGAGCCGAGTATCAGAAGCTTCTTGCTAGCAGGTTAAAGGAGCAGGGTGAGAGAAGAAGTGAGAGTTTGGTTAAGAAGAGGTCAAGGTTAGTTGCAAGGTTGAAGGCCTCTATTGTTGCTTAAGTTATGACCATATTTTTCATGTTCATGTGTGCGATTTGTATGCTTACATTTGAGAAATTTTTGCCTAATACTTTCTTTTTTTTCCCTTGTAATTGATTTAAGCTTTGGAAGAAGGTTCTGTGAAACAGAGCACAGCATATTATTTTTGTTTATCTGAAAATTCGAATTGCAGCAACCTAGGAGATATCAATGGTGATTAGATAAGCTGTTGCTATAAGCAATAGAAGCCGCAATCTGAATGAATGAAAAAGTTTTAGAAAGCAGCAACGGAATAAGTAGGTCTGTATACAACTAATAATAAATAAAGTTGACTGTTGAGGATAGTAGATGCGTCGAAAATAGCTGGTTCATTAATACATACGTACAAAAGAAGAGGGTTCATGAAAGAATCAACGACCCTTGTAAGAAACTTGCCAAAATGTAGGAGTGCAAACCATTGGTAAGGCGCATGTATCTTATGAAGACAAAAAATGAATAACTCTGCTCTAGGTTAGTTTCGATTTCTTGGCAGAGCTGGTGGGTTCATCTGGAGAGTTGCCTGCGTTGAGCTTGTCCAATTCATCAAATTTTTCAGAAAGACGCATGCGAGTCTTTGAAGGCGCAGGATTTTGCTCTGGAGCAAGTTACATAACAAAGAATTGGTTAAGAAATAGCAAGTAAATAACAGTACATGAAAAGAGAGCATATGTAATTAAAACATAAAAGGGTAAACATAGAACAAACTTAAGTAGTCTTAAAGCTAGTGAGAATAATGCAAATGTCTGCTCTGTACCAGCACTAGGAATAAGGTTAGGACAGAATAGGTATTAAAAACATGAGACGAACTTGCATAAATAAAAAGGTTTCGTTTTTGTACAGGACGCTGGCACATAAAAACTAAGAAAGAATATCATTTTTTATTGAATGCATGCTGCACAAAATACTTGAGGCAAATAAATGGAAGAAGAAGGCAAAATTTGGAACTAATATAGCAAATTGAATAGAAGGTGAAACGGCCTAAAAAACAACAGAGTTAAGAGTTTGGACAAATCTACACGGTTGTGGTAGTCATTTTTTTGCTAACTATGTAAGAGGATTTGTTGCACTGAACAAATGTAATTTGGGAGCAAGGACTTTTTGGAACTCTATACACCAGTGAAAGTAAGCACAAAAAAATTTAATATTGCACTGAGGGTAATCACAACATACAAATTTGTGGTTCTGCTGCAAAACTCAGATGTACATGAGTAATTTTAACAACAAGTGCTAACGACACTTGTAAATCCAACCACACCATTCTATGCATGCTCTAAATAGATAGATACAACATCTGCAATGGAAAAGCAATGACAAAGCATATATATATTTTAAGCACAACTGAAATAGGATTTCCCACTATCATATATAACTTCAATGGATAATCATCTGTGTTAAGAAGGCAATAGTAAAGATAAAAAGGAAAAGCAAGAAATAATACGTATAGCTACTCGGTGAAAACCAATGAACAGAATATAACTTGAAAATTAATTTAGAGCTGAGCTGCAAAGATACTTGGGGGGAAAAAAGAACGTAACATAAAAAAGTTGTAATAAGATCTATTCTTGTGGACCTTTCCTGCGTTTTTCCTGAATTTATTAAATAGAAATCGAAACATGACATAAATGCAAAATAAGACTATTAGTAGCAGCAAAAGTAAATAATTAAACAGGAAGTAATCGAATAAGAAATTAAAATTAAGTTTAGAGTACGCGTGCGCTTACCTGTATCAGCTAGTTCCAGCGTTGGGGATTGGTCATTAAGCAGTGGTAAATCATTTTTTTGTCTCGCTTACTACTTGAGCTGAACTGGTAGCATGATCAGCTTCATAGTAATATATAACTGTGTAACGTTGCCTAGCGTCTGCTAGCTGCGCTTGGACTGGTTTTATATGAATCAGAAAAGTCTTTGATTTCAGTTGTTGATGAACAAGGCCAAGAGGGAGCTCAACATTCTGAGAACAAGAGGGAAAAAAACATCAGTAATGTTGTAATAGGGCTGTCAACAACTATTTGAGACAAAATAAAACCTCATTAAAATGCTGCATTGCTTCAATGGAGGTGAATGTTAAAAGCTTCTTAGCTAGTTCTCCAAATATGGAAGCTGGTATAGCTCTACTGTCATCAACTAAATCAACATCAAAGCGACATCTGGAAGTATAATAAATACTGGGAGAATTAGTATTTTGGAGAATTTATCATCATACACGATCAAGAAAGATTCACATAGCGATGACTTGTGAACTATCACCTTGGTACAGCTGGTTGCTTCTCCTTGCACGAGTTGCAAGTAAATTCAACTTCATAATCTGCTGCTGTGGCTCGATAGCAATTCTTACAACTCATATACCAGTATTTTTGGAATATGTGTTCAAAGTAGAAGCGAGCTCTCACCCAAGTTGTCTGCAATATTAATAATGATAAGAAAAAAGATGTAAATATGGCAACAGCAAATTGTAAAGGGAAAATGGGAAAGAGTGTTTTAATACCTTCTGTGATGGGTTAACATTGCAAATTAAGGTAGCTTTCTGATCAACTGTGAGAGAAATTGCAGGATTATACCTCATGTAGTCTCTTTTATCAAGAACATCCGCAATCATTTTAGAATTTCTAAGTGCCTTGTGCAAGGAGAAAAATGTAGAGAGGATGTAAGAAGGGAAAATCATCTGAAGTTGAAGTTTTATGAGATAGAAACAGGTCATTGGAGTACAATATACCAGTTTTTCAGCTCTCTTGCTTCCTGTATAGGCGGATCAACAAGTATGACAGAATCAAACCACAACACCTATAGAAAAAGCATCAATGTTATGACAACTGATTCTGTGAAATGTATATATAAGAAGGCGAGAAAAAAAATATTTCAATGTATAAAAGGAAAAAGTACCATTGTAATTATTGACTTTAATTCGACGTGCAATAATGACAGGATAGCTGTTGAGGTTAGACAGTAGCTGCTGTCCTTCATTAGTAAGAAAGTCATCCCATAAAGACAGCAATACTGTTTGACATCTGTAATGATTATTAATATAAATAATAAGTAGGTAATAACTTAATTCAGATTTGCAGTTAAGATAAGAAATGAGATACTCACTTTTCATCAAGAAGGACAAACTTTTGAACATTTGATTCTTTTGTGTTTCTATTCAATGTCTTCCTATCTAATGCAGCAATCACAACACCTAGCACATCTGTAAAGAGAACCAGCATCATGGAAGAAGCACTAATAACAGTGTAAGTACAGCAACATTAATTTATCGAAAGAGTTACCAACTGATTTATTCCTGTCATCCATGTGATGCACCTAATCAGTAAATTTTGTATAGTTAAACTTCACAGGCATGATTTCATTGGCATCATCATTTATTTCTTGAATGACAGTTTTAGTGCTGATCACCCATTGGATAGTAAGCTCAGTTGTCTGAAATTTTGCTGGGATAGGTTTCACTTCAGCATTCGTGATCTTGTATTTTTTGTAAACACGTAAGAGCGGACTCATTTTAGGAATATCAGCATTGAAGATTATTGCTTCTACTTTTGATCCCTGGAACATAGAAGCAGCGAGTATAGCATTAGCTAAAAAACAGGAAATTTTGTTATTACAACCATAGGAGAGAGAGTGGGTACAAAGGCGCACTAACCTCTGTATCATAGAAGATAAATTTTTGTTTTTTTGTTGGTGTTCCCTTTGAGTCAGTGATCTGCTGTTTTTCCTGAACAGTGATGATGCAACTCCAATTTTTCATGAAAGGGACAATGTCTCGGATAGGCAGCAAGTTAGCCATTCTGTATGAAAATCAAAATATACATAACTAAGTATTAGTACACAAGTTAAGTGTAAGAGCATATTCATTAAAGAAAGATAAAAATGCATGTGTACCTCATTCAAAAATATACTTGAATCAGATAGAATCTTGAAATTAGACAGAATCTTTACTGCTGAGTCAAATGAAAGATTTCATTAAAGACAATGTTCCTAGTTCTGCAGTCAATCTTTTTCTCATCAAAAGTTCCAGGAATAAGAAGAACTTTAAGGTCAGCAGCAGTTCTAGCTCTAGAAAGTGCAACGTAAAGCTGTCCGTGGGAAAAAACAAGTTCACGCAAATAAAGACCCACATAGTCAAGAGTTTGTCCCTGTGCCCTATTAATGGTTAAAGCAAAACAAAGGCGGACAGGAAATTGAGTTCTTATGAACGGAATCCCATTCCTTTCATTGTCAGAGGTCTGAAGAGGTATTTTTGGGATGAAGACTATTTTCCCAGCGTGAATGCCAAAAACAATTTCTGCAGAAATGATATTCAAGCTAAGCTCTCTACATATTAACCTTGTCCCATTACACAATCCTTCATTAGGATTTAAATTCCTTAAAAGCATAATAGGACAATTTTCTTTTAGCAGCAACTTATGAGGAGGAAGTCCTTTTGGATTCTGCGAATTTAGAAAATCTTCATAGTCACCTTGGTGATGCTGCTCAACAATCCGATCTGAACTGATATAAATTTGAACATTTCCAGGAAATTTGTTTATCAATAGCTCATTCAGCTCATCGACAGAGCTATTTTTGGGAGCAAGGATGCATCTATTTATCATCCTATAAGGATCTTTAGAATACAGCTGCAAATCTGGGAAAACACTCTCAACTAACCTGTTTAGAGTTATAAGTAGCTATAATCAATGAAAGATAGGGTTTAAAAAAAAGAATCAGCTAGATAAAGTATAATTATATGTAGTTGTTAACTTGTTTAAAGATTGATCTTTATCATAATAAGGAATAACTATATCAGGTGATAAAGCGATTTCGCCATTTGCATCTACAGGCTCTCTTCCCTCGCCTATTCTTAATAAGAACTGAGAGAAAGCAGGATCTAACATGGCTCTCATATTCTGCGTGAGTTTCAATTTGTGTAACTTAGACCAGAGAATAGAGTTAGGAAAGCTTGATTCTATGAGGACATGCTTTGTTGCTCGCTCAATAACTGGCAAAGTTTGCCGAAAATCTCCACCAAAAACTACAACTTTTCCTCCAAAAGGCAAATTAGAATCCATTATATCTTTAAGCAGATCATCGAATGCCTCAATCATTTCTCGCTTAGCCATCGATGCTTCATCCCAAAGGATAAGTTTACACTCTAAAAGCAATTTGGCAACACTGCTTTGTTTGCTAAGTTGACAAGCTTTATTCTTTGAAAAGTCCAATGGTATCTTAAATCTTGAGTGCGCTGTGTGTCCTCCAGGAAGAATAGAAGCTGCAATGCCAGAAGTGGCTACAGCAATGGCAATGTAACCCTGTGATCTTAATGTAGCAAGCAACGATCGGTATAAGAATGTTTTTCCGGTCCCTCCTGGACCATCAATAAAAAAAGCTTCACCCTGAGTAGAAAAACATGCTGCAAGAATCAAGTCGTAAGCATTTTTCTGTTCAGAGTTCAATTTGAGAGGGAGTAAGAGATCCTCTGGAGCAACATGTAAACCTCTTTCGCTTTCGATCTCCTGTGTCAATCGTTCATGAAAAGGAGAATGGAAATCATTTGAAGTTAATTGGTAATCAGTAATTCTTTTTCCCATCTGCTCCAACGATCTGTTAATATCCTGTAGCGCTCTTGTTGTGATCTCTGAAGGAGTAAGGACAGAAAATGAGCATTGGTGCTGGTAATCTGTTGAGAGGTCATGGTGAAATTTTTCCCACAGTAGTTCAAGATTTACTGGAGAACAATGAACAAGCAGAGTGGCAAATAGCAATCTTAAGGAAGATGGCATCTGGAAGGCCACGGCTTCTTGGAGTGTATCATCTATGTAAGTATCAGATTGCAAAAGTCCTAATGCTAAAGCAGCTCCTCTAAAGGAATTCAGCTTTTGATCAGCAACCGTCAAAATATCATCAAAAGAAGTTGGCCCATGAACATGATTTAGAAGAAGTCTTGAGTAGTATCTTTCTCCATCTGCTGGACTAACAGTAACCATTCTACCTATCACGTTTCGATGCTTCCTCTCAGTCTATCTCTTATATTTAGGAGACCAAACAAAAAATTGAGGAAAATCCTTGTAAAGACATTTAAGGTTCTGTGCAACCACATTTGTTTTGTTCATATGGAAAAATTCAGTCAACATGGTTTTTGAAAAATCAACTTTGCTCAATAATTGCAACAGATCAGAGTTTTTATCGAAAGAAATAAACTGTTGGTCTGGAAGATGGATCTGAAGAGTATAGACCGCTAGAGTTATTTCACTTAAGCGGAATTCAAAAATGCGCCAAAAAGCCTCAGGAGGTGAAATCCATCTACCTTGCTGAAATTCCTTTATTTCATCAGTGTCATCAGGGGCATGATGTGAAACGACCCTAAAACTGATTGAGTCATGGCCTTTGAAAACATACTTATACATGTACTTCACCAATTTAACAGTCGAGCAAATTTCTACATTGATATGGCAGTCAAATGTAGCTAATTGCATAATGTAGATAAATGAATAGTATTACAACTGTTATTACTGAAGAGTTGGGCTTGTAGTACTTTTATTACCCCGTTTCCTTTGTTTTCCTTAGCAGGGGACGACGCGGGGAACTTTGGGACTCTGCCGCTAGTATAGTTAGGTTGTTTGTAATAGTGAGACATCTAGCATGTTTGTTTTTGTTTTGGTGGTTTGTATAAGAACCCTTCTTAGGGTCTATCTTTTGCTGGTTGTGGTTATAGTGTATTAGAGTGGTTTGACTCGAGACTTTTGAAGATGTAAATATAACTTTTGGGATTGTATATATTGTATATAGTGCTCTTTCGATTTATCTAGTTTTATTGCTTTAAGTTTTGAGTCCTGGCGCGAGCTAGGCAATCAGTTAATGTATCCCAAGGCAATCAGTTAATTTCTGGTTCGCCTGCCCAGCTATCGCCGGGACTCAGTCGCTCACTACAGTCCTCAAATGAATTACAAGAATAAACCTCAAATATTACATCAAATTCTCCAATGATTACATATTACAAATGCAGCGGAAACTGATTCCAATCGTGGAACGTATACTTACATCCATATCAATTTCAAATATTTATACAAGACCAACTCATACATAAAATAGATCCAAACTTAAACTGTACACGATATAAGCCATCCAATCACGTGAATAAGCACTCCAAGCTTTTCTTCGCCTTGAGCCCTGTGGGGGGGAAATATAAAACATTTTTTGGGGTGAGCTAAAAGCTCAGCGAGTAACCAGAAAATCATTAATCAAATCGGTTTCACAATAGTTCATTTCATTGATGTCATGGTTCAGAAATCAGATGTACGTATTTTTGCTCTCGTGAGCCAGTGAAATCATTGTAATGTTTTAGAAGTTCAATAAGTAACTGGGGGTAAAAATGTAATTTTGTTACAGGTCAACATTTGCACAGTGAGAGTAAAACAAAAGCAGAAAATGACACCACATGGTAATTCCACAAAGCTCAATGAGCTAAAATCTCAATAAGGTTCCGAACATGAAATTACATAACAAAGCCAACACATTAACCATCAATAATCAATAATTCAAGAAACATTTACAATGGAAAGCGATAGTAACATTCATGAAAGGATACATTCATTCTCCTGACATTTCCTCGCTCATTTGGTCATTCATTTCATTTCATTCACCCCGTCCCTGGCTTTTGGCCAGGCTCCACCAACCTACATAGGTAATACTCGAGTATACCAAACGTTTCACCCAAGTTCCTAATCGCCTGACCGAGTCGCTTCTGGCTCAAGACGACCGGTAACAAGGGGCAATGGCCAGTTCAGCCCAAAAGGCTTACATTCATGCGCAAGTAACATTTCAATCGAAAATTTCACATTTATCGAGGTCGAGTGCGATAAAGTACACACTCGCCTCGAAAACTCGTTTTGGAAATCATTATAAGCGCTTAACACGTTATCAACCAAAATACAAGTCATGAAGTCAATAAATATAGGAAACAAGGCACACTCACATGCCAGTACGCATGATATGCAAGAAAACATTTCAAAAGTAACTTTGGAAACAGTTTAAAAGTAAATAATGTAAGAAACGGTTCATAAATAACTAATGAGCTTCATTTGCTTTATCAAATGTAGTCAATGATAGGGAATTTCGAGGACGAAATTCTTTTAAGGGGGAGAGAGTGTGAGTGACCCTAAACTGTTTCCAAAGTTATTTATGAACCGTTTCTTGCACTATTTACTTGATTGCATATCACGAGTGCTTGCATGTGGCCCATGACATGTTTTGGCTTAAATGAGTACTTGGAATTCGTGTGCTGAACACCAACGTCTCCACCTCTGTGTACTGTTCGTCTGGAGCAAATGGCTCCCCCTCTGATTGTTTACTGTTAAATGTTTGTTTGGAGCGTTGGGTGTTTAAGTACAACGATTTCACTGGCTCAAGAGAGCAATAAACGTACATGTGATTACCGATTCATGACATCATTGAAATGAACGATTGTGAAATATATTTCATTACTGATTTTTACTGGTTACTCGCTGAGCTTTTAGCTCACCCCCAAAATGTTTTTATTGCCCTCCACAGGGCTCGTGGCGAAGGAAAGGCTTGTAGTACTTGTTCATGTGACCGGATGAGTTATCTCTTGTACAGTTTAGATTTGGATTTATTTTATGTACGACTTGGGCTTGTATCAATATTTGGAATTGAAACGGATGTAAGTATACATCCCACGATTGGAATTAGTTTCCGCTGCATTTGTGATATGTAATTATTGGAGAATTTGATGTAATTTTGATACCTTATAATATACTTTTACTTGTTACTCAAAACCATTCTTAATCAAATATAATGTAGCTTTGTGAGTGGGCTCTATGAATTCCTACAATGACTTGGATGATCTGATTAGCTAGTCAAGTATTTGCATGCTGAAATTGAGTACTTAATATCATGTTTTAGCCGAGTAAAAAGTTGGGTTATGACCAATTAGCTGCTGGAAATTCTGTTTAGCCGATGACAGATTTATTGTGGTGGAATTATTTGCCAAAATTACATGTTATTTGTTTTATTTCATGTCGGAAAATTTTGATGGTGGGCTCTATGAACTCCCACCCTTGGATTGATGATGGATATAATGCTAGTTTAGTGTTTAAATAGGTAGATTAATGATACCTAGCTAGTCTAGACTCCAGAAGATGCATCGTTCAAAAAAAATGTTCAGATTTGCCCTGTTTTAATCGCAACCCTTTTTGCAAAATTTTGAGAGTTTCATGACTTGTATATCATGTTGATATGTTGAATATATGGTGTACAAAGTTTCATTGAAAAATATTGAGGTTTGGTTGGTCAAATAAATCGATTTAACAAAGCTAGTAAATCTGGAACTATTCCCGAAATGCTCTGACCAGCTTTCGTATTTCGGCCATAATTTTGAACTCCGATGTCGAAATCGAGTGCCGTCAGCGGCATTTGAAACTAGACATTCCAACCTTTCCGACGATATAAAATTCACATTCTGGTTCCATGTATGTGAGCCAAACCAACTATTTTAAGTCGGCTGTTCTGTTTCTCTGCTTTACAAGAACAAAATGCTGAGGCTGCAACTTGTAACTCAAATTCGAGCTAGTTGTGTTCCGAATTTCAAAATGATTTCTTCTGTGAAATTATAGCTCTATGAATGTATTTTCCAACGCCTTAAACCATGCTAAATTCTGAGTTAATTTGAGTGATCTGTGATCAAAATATGAAACCTACTCTGTCCTTGAAAACCCTGATTTTTTTAGACAGATTTGATGCAAGGTTTGGCAAAGACTTGCTAACTGAATATTTTGATGCTAAACACTTACCAAATGCACCATGAACGTTCTTTAAGTTTTGCCTAAACAAATGAACCAGGTTTGGAGGAATGTTTCTTTGACCAAATGTCTGAAATGGAAAAACAAAAGGTTCAAGGCAGTTTTGTCTTAGTATTTGCGAAATTTTAGGTGTTTGATTGACCACCTTTCCGAAGTTATTTTTCCATGAAATTTGGTAGAGGAACAACCCTTATATGGTAGTATTATACTGCTAATTATGGTGTTATTCCGAGACCGATTCATGGGTCAAATAAATTACCAAAGTTCGAGACTTGATTTTGGAAAACCCTTGTTTAACAAGAAAATTTTAGTAACTTTGAGCTACCGTATCTTGGTGCTCAAAACTCCGTTCCTCATTCCGTTTGTTTTGTTATACTCTTGAATTACAACACTAATAGAGTTGCAAATTTCAAAAGCTATTTCCAAACAAGTGAATTTTTCCGAATTTCCAAAGTTGGCCAAAAACTAACTTAAATCTGCCTTATGAACCAAAACAGTAACTTTGAGCCCATTTTGACTATCTTCCATTTAGAATCATGAAAAAGTGTATTCTAGGAACTTTTAGCATTTTGAAGGAAGTTTCCAACGGTACCAAGTTTTCCAATCTTTGACATGTAAAAGGTGAGCTACGATTTTTCAAAGTATTGCATCAAAACTGAAATTTTCCGTATTCCAAGGAAATGGAGTTTTTCAAGTACTCCTTATTCCTTCGATAATATTCAAATGTCTTATCCTTGAATTTCATGATGTAGACTTAATTTCTCTTGTACCTTGAAACCCCGCTTGAGAATTTAGATTTAGGATAATTAAGACTTGTTCACGAGATTTTTCCTAAGTTTGTACTATGACACGATTTTCAACAATAGTAGGAATTGTAAATGATAGACTATTACTATTCGTTCAGGCGCACGCGAGGACCTTTAAGAGGATCCGACAGAGGACACTTGAACTTCAAATTGAACCTATTGCCCTTGTTTGACTAGGTGAGTGTTCCATATAGGAATACGTAATTGAGTAAGTCTAGGACATGCTCATTTCATGATCGTTAAGTATTTACCATACTCGTGCCTATTTAAGAAATATATATATGCATTGCATATCGACATGAATTGGTTAAATGATTAACCCTATCAAATAATCTTGTAAACTCAATATGTGCTTAGCCTGCTTATTTTATGCTTATTTGGTTAAAGTGCTCTTGTGACTCGTTATGTGACAATTTGGGAAATAAGTTCCGATCCATCGAAGTGCGCAGTGTGTACTTTATCACACTAGCCGTTCGAGTGGTGAAGTGTGTGAAATATTTTCTAATGAATCTGTGAATCTAAATGTGGTTGCGTCGTTGGAGTGAATCTCCTCGACTCTTACGTGGTAAAAGTGCAAAACGGCCAATGGCGGCCTATTAAAATGACATATGTCTACCAATTAACCGTAATTACCACCGTTTACCGTTTACCGTTTATCGTTTACCGTTAACCGTGTTTACTTACCGTTTTCTAATCTATGTGGTTACTGATTATTTGATTATCATAAATTATATGCTCATATGAAGTTGTCCATCATTGTTAGGCGAGTGTGTACTTTATCTTCCTCGACCTATTCAAATGATGAATTTTACTTTTGTCGAATTACTTTGTTACCTGTGCATGTTGTAAGCTATAAGCTGAACTTGGGCCCCGCCTCGGTTACTGACCTACTCGAGGCAGGACTGGGCTCGGTCGGGTAGGTTGGAACCCTGGACAACCGTTTCGGTATACTCGAGTATTACCACTGGAGGGATAAGGTGATGGCCAGTCAACCGTGGGGATCCGGGAGTTATAAGGTGCAGATGACCGACAAAGTTCCACTGGAACACCGTATCCTTTCGTGCTTGCTTTACTATTAATAATATTATTGCTCTCCTAGTTGGCATTCTCGGGTAAGACTCCTCATGAGCATTAACCTCTGAGATGAAGCAATCCTTGTAATGTTCTTCTAGTCGGACGAGCCACTATTTGTTTGACTGAAAATTTATGAAAATGTATTTATATGGCCATTCATTCCAAAAGTACTAGTTCTACATGTGTTTTGAAGGTAGCAATTACCCATGTAATGATTATCACCTCATGGTAACATGCCATTGTGTAACCCCGAATCATGCATATGATGTGCACAACTTACCTGACCTATTTGAACTGTTAGAGCGTCTTGGAACCTCACTGGGCTGTGTAGCTCATCCCACGTTGTGGTTTTCTTTTACAGGTTCTGACAACTGAGGAAGACTTGAGATCTACTTGTACTTTAAGCATGTAGTTTGAATTAAACAATGTAGCTTTTGTTTCGGGTTGCCACTTGAAGTTGGAAAAGTGTAAACCCTGGATTTGTATGTGGCTTGTATGAATTTGTTACTTGGCTTGTAAGGATGTATTTGAATTGTTTTTTTTTTGTTTCTTGGGTTGTATTCGGGAAGATATTTTAAGAATCGACATTGGCTATCTTAAGTCACCGTTATCTCTGAAGTTAATGTGATTCTAGAAACCGGCCTATTTGGAGGGAAACGATGTTGTAATAGATTAGGTTATACTTCGGAAGGATTTTTGCTAGCTTGCTTGCGTGAGTCCTGGCGAGAGCTAGGCAGTTAATTTCTGGTGATCTTTATAATTTATGATATAATTAACTGATATAATTGCCTTGAAATTAACTGATAATGTAAATATCGGCCTTGGGATGAAGTAATATTCATAATATATTACGATACAGTTGATATAACAAAAAATTATTTGCTCATAATAGTACTATGCAACAGCTATATATAAAGAGGTATTATTTGCTTATATGAAAGTTTTGTATTACGATGCAATGAATATGACAAAAAATTATTTTGCTCATAATAATACTTTGCAGATGATATATATATATACACACACACACATATATATATATATAGAGAGAGAGAGAGAGAGTGGTTATAAAAGTTTTGTATTATTTGTCAATTATTCTCACAGGAATTGACTTAAGAGTTTAGAAATTAATTTGTGGACAATAGTATGAAAAAAAAGATGTGTCGATTATCAGCAAATAATTATGTGTAGTTAATATTATAATTTAAAATCGTCTAAAACATTGAAAAAGTTAAAAATTGAGAGCAAATGCATATAAAATTGTGTTCTCCTATCATGTCTTTAGATCTAATAGCGTGTCAATGTAATTAACAAGATTTTTTTAACATCCAATAGTGCATCAATATAACTGATAGGATTTTTTTAGGAGTGCAGAATGAGTTTTTTTTTTTAACGGTGCAACACAAGGAGTTATTGGGTTTTTCTCTTTTTTTTTTTCTTTTTTATAAGGTACCATGAGACTATCTAGTAACCACTAAGAGAGACTTGAATCCAGCAACATGAGAGTTAAGTCTCTCTTCAACTCAATATCAAGAGTTCTAATTCCTCACTTGCATTCTTTTCATGATGATTTTCTAGGAATAAGTCCATCCAGCATGCTAATGAACTAGTTTGGATTAGAGATGGTCTTCCTATTTTGTCAAAGTGTAAGAGTAGGTTAGGCAAATATCATTGCAAAAAAAAAAAAAAGATTTTTGAATTTATTATGAAGTGAGGATGGAAGATTAAGTTTAGTTTCTTTTTTTCCTTTTTCCTTTTTTTCCATTTGGGGTGTAATTGAAAGTTTTGGTTTGTTATATCTTTTTAAATATTCAATTTGCTAATAATAGATACCTTTTAATAATGACAGGGATATATCAAATTTTTACGTTATATAGTTTGTCTTAAATTTTCTAAGAGCACAAATAAATAAAAAAATTAAATTATAAGTAAATGATGATTATAATATTGTAATAAGCATAAAAATAAGTAATTCTAAAAGGAAAGTGAAGCGAAATAGCGACGTGAGGGAAGTGGAAAAAAAATAAAAAAATAAAAATAAAAGAAAATAATGAAAAAGAAAAATAAGGGAATCAATAAAAAAAAAAGTAACAAAATAAAATCTTAAGGGCACTTTGGTCTTAAAATATCAAATAGATGGCAAAGTGCTTATTTAATGAGTTCAGAAGAGTAAAATGCAACTACAAAAAAAGTTCAGAAAGGTTTACAATTTAGTGCATTTAATCCTTGTCTTAACAATACTTTGTGGCAACTATTACAAGGCACTAGGGAGTCTATTTCCTACTTTAATATCTTGAACAAGTTTATTGGCAAACCTAAGCATAACTAGATGATGATAATATTATTGTTTTCTTGCCTTTTAACAAAAAAAATTTTTGCATCGGGGCAGTGGGAGAGCGAGGGCATTGGCTTTTAGTAACAAAGTTAAAAGTTCCTTTGGGAGAGCATATCTCCTTTTGGAGCTTTCCTCACCAAAGCATATCGTTTATTTTCTAGTGTCTTTCTTCTTCAAGTATTATCCTATTCCTTCCATATTCTAACCTCTGTTGTACTCAATGGCATCTTTGAATCTTCACAATGTTATCATTACTCCTTTCTTATTCATTACTCCTTCATATATTATACCTCTACTTTTGAATGTCAGAATCTATTATCCGGTATATTCCACTTATGTATGGTTCAGTTTCATTTAACCAAGTCTGGTAAATGGTCATTGCTTTGCGGTGGTTCTTCTATTTTAATGGATGTGCTGGCAGATTTCATCTATTAGGATGAGTTGAGAATTGTGAATTAGAGTATGGCAGCAACAACTCAAATGAACGTAGTGAAGTCCCTTTTGGTACTTCCTTTGTACCCAACCAACTATGTGTAACTTGGTGGGGTCCTTTTGTGGTCCACCAGTCCCTAGTATCTAACGATATATAACAAGATTTGATCTTTGTGACCTAGGTTATCTAACTGGCTATCGCCATCTTGGCATTGATATTTTATGTGAGTGGGTTGAGTTATATTGGCATCCACAAGTGTAGGTACTTTTGAGGGAGGGTAACTTCTTATTTAGATTTTCTTCAGTAGAACATATGTTACTTATTCTTGATAACTGTCCATATTTGGTTTATGGTGCACTTCTTACCTTGCATCTGTGGGTTGTTGATACAACCATCACTTCCATAGTAATCATTTAAATCTTAATATGGTGCAAGTTCTTTGTGAGGACGTGCAAATTCCTTATATTTTTCTTAAAAATTCCCTTTTATTTGGAAATTATTATTTTATAATAACCCTACTACCCAATCAACCCACAATAAGTGCAAGTGAACCTAGAAAGTAGGGTTTCACTTTTCGTTTTTAAGTTAGCGTGAATTAGGGTTTTTACGTTTATCCATAGTGTGACTATCCGGTGCAGAGTGTGGATTAAATTTGGTGATTTAGAGTGATTAGAAGTAATAATAAAGTTAGTGAATTAGAAGTTAGAACCCTAGTATACGCGATTTAAGGAAAACGGTTCGAATCGACGGGTACCGTTCGCTACCGATTGAACACACCATTTGACCACCACTTTCCTACCATACAATACCATTGATATGAGTGTAAAATATCACCCCATTTTTCAGCTAAGCTTGGCCGAAATATTTGACCAAAAAAACTAGGAAAAAGGACAAAATGTGAAGGTTAATCTTAAAGCAACAAGTGGCGGCCATCTATTGGTTTGTTGACTAATTAATTTCCACCATCTTTATCACAAAAAACTACTCAATTTACCCCTCATTTTCAGTACACCAGCCGAGAGAGAGAGGAAGAAAAGCCAAGAGCAAGAAACCACAATCCATCTTGAGTTTGATCCACTTAAGTGAGAAAACAAGAAATCTAAACCGATTAATCAATAGTTTGAGAGTTTGGGAAGCTTAAGGAACTAGAAATTTCAAAGAGAGGTGGAGGATATCCTTTGAAAGCTTGTTCTTGAGGTATTTTGGCTGTCACTTATCTTTGGTTCTTTTACTTTTGTTTAAGTTGTTATATAACTCATGATTTGGTTAAATTGGTAGCTATGAAAGTAGTTGTAGTGATTTTGGGAGAATTGGTGAGTTAGGGTTTGTATTGAACAGCCATATTTTTTCTTCTTTAGATGGATTATGATGGGAATATGAAGATTGGCACTTGTAGGCATAAATTCCAGATTTTCGGTTTTGCACCTCCCCTGTTCTGACCGGCACTGTTTGACCATGTTAGAGGCCGAATTAGGCTTAGCACAAAACATGAAAGTTGTTAGAGAATGATGTTTTATAGTTTCCTGCAAAATTTCAGCCCAATCCGAGTACTGTAGCTTGTGAAAAGACAAACATACCCTTGAGACTGCCCGAGGTAGCGTTCAATAGACAGTTTTAACATTTCTTCATGTTGGCTGCGTTTTTCATCTTGATCCGTACCAAACCAGTCTTTGGCCAAAACATGAAACTTTTATCCCTATGTTTCAGCTTTCCAACGCAATTGAAAACACCTCAATCGGACTTCGATAGCCTGAGTTATTGTCGTTTACGTATAGTGCGGTTAACTAACCTGAAAATGAGATTTTGGTTCTGTAATTCGAAATTTTGACCTAGATACACTACGAACTGGATTAAGTGGTCTGCATCAAAGTTGTAGCTCTCTGTCTTAACTTCGAAATGGTATAACTTGTACTTCAATCCAATAAGCGTAGTTTCGGTTATGTCCGATACGCTAAGTAGCAGTGAATCTGCCTTTTTGGTTTCTTAGCTTAAAGCTCTTTTCCGATCCTTTTCCTAGCTAAATTTTGTATTTGAATGACTTTGAGCCTATTGAACGGCTGTTGTGATGAATTTATATTGTGTATGACTTTGGGATTGATTGAGGAAAAGAATGAAGCCATAAATGACTAGAAAATAGGTAAATACAAAGGGCGTGCTGCCCAAATTTACACTCAAGGATTAGGTAACGATTTGAGAACGAATACCATATGAACCATCTAGGATATTTGTGTCTTCTTTATCGAGGTATATAAGTTTGAATTTGGCCGAAACTAGTACATTTAGAAAAATGAAAATTTACGACTAATAGAAATACGTTTTCTTCATTTCTTCGACTCAAATGGATATTTCAAAGTTTTACGAGCGAGCATAAGTTTTTCAAATATTTTACTCATGTCCTTTGGTTTCAATGTACTCTTTTCACTACCAAAACCAGATTTATATTTCATACTAGTACGTATTTGAATTTCTTTGAATCACTTAAATCTTTGACGGTTGAAACATAATGTGTTCTTTTGATTATATTAGGGTTCATCGGTGACTGACTGTATTATTCGACAAGATATTTTGGATATTATTTTGCGTAAATAGGTAAGTGTTCCTTGTTTGTTATATTGTTCTTGACTTCATGATTTCACGGCTTGTTATTATTATTCGATAATGTGCTAAGTGCCTTCAATGATTGCCAAAACGAGTTTTACAGGCGAGTGTGTACTTTATCACACTCGACCTAGACGAATGTAAAATTTTCAATGATTGAATGATTGAAACGTTACTTGTGTATGAATGTAAGCCTTTTGGCTGAACTGGG